GCCATTTTAAAGTATTTGGAATATAAACATATTTGCCGGTTTAATAAAATAGGCATCTCGATTCATCTCTCTTTCAGGCCTACGTGTTTTAATATGATTTGCTTTGGTTCATTAACGTCATCTTGTTTCAATGTTGATGAATATGCTCAATTTTATGGTATGGTTGTTGTATACACTCATTCACCATAAATGTATATTTAACAGTTTCATTCATTATACTACTAACTAAACCGTTTCTGGTTCGAATCCTACCCAGCCCAGTTCTGGAAACGCTGATTTACTGTGTCCCAGGAAAAGTAATTTTACTTTCAATGCCTCGCCACTAAATTGCCTTTGTCAAGCGTAGGCAAATTGTGTGTATATATATATATATATATATATATATATATATATATATATATATATATATATATATATATATATATATATATATATATATATATATATATATATATATATATATATATATATATATATATATATATATATATATATATATATATATATATATATATATATATATATATATATATATATCACGTGTATCACGTGTCTATGGTCTTAAATTAAGCAATGGAAAATAGTGGGAAGCAAACACCTTTATAAAATTCAACAAATAATTTATTTCCCTAGAATACAAACTGAAAATATTAAAGGGACAAAGTTCTGAAACTAAACATTTGTTGATATTCTAAAACATTTGAAACGTTGAAGTGCCGTTGTATCTATAGAAGTCGATGTCTATTATATAACAATGTACCAATGGCATGGATTGTAGTGATGTGACGAGTCTTTTATTAAATTAAAGTACTACAATCCAAGGATTCCTTGTCTGATTTCACTTTTATTCCAAGTCAATATATCTTTCCAAGAATAAGATAGAGCACATTGTATTTCCAGAGAATAATAATTTGAATTAAATATTTTCTCCCAAATGAAATTCTGAACACCAAAATATGTCTGATTTCTGCTTCAGATGTTATTACAGGAATAAAATAAATTTTCATAAACAACATTATGTAAAAATTAGGACACAAAATAAGTGCCCGAATTGAAGTTCTATTTAGAAGGACTGTTACTAAAATTATACTGAAGAACATGATAAACAGAATGTCACTGACTCAAATTAAGACATTGATCCTAATATGTAACCTACTCACAGAAAAATACAAAACATGTATTAGTTGTTTATAGAATTAAAGACAATAAATGCCTCTTGACAGGTAGACAATAAACTTGAGATTGGAAAGGTCAGCTACAAAATACAATTTTAAATAACCCGTAATATACAATGAATACAAAATAACGAACAATGCACAACAACTCAGTTGGAAAATTATTTTTTATGGCAACATTAATTCTGTGGCTGCACAAGGGTTCTTAGAATGTGTCCATAAAATATCTTTCGTTTAAAAGAAAACAAAGATCAGTTTTTAAAATGTTTACTACAAACCAAGAAATTTATTGCATAATTCAGTTGATAACTGTTACAATTTACTTGAAAAAAAATAGATTTTGAATTATATGTTTTGGGAAAAATATAGATTTTGAATTATACGTTTTGCAGTACTTATTGGGAATAAATTCAGAGTTCAACATTACTCTCAGCAAAGGAAAACCAAGCAAGGTAATTTAAGAACCATGAAAATCACGGACATTGCTTTCATTGTGCCTGACTCTTGTGGTCAGCTAGGAAAGTATTTACATTTCACAACGGCTAATATAACAAATATTTTTCAATGCTTTAATATGCTCGCTAGGTTTGCAGATTCGCACGACATAATTCACTGAACTACATTAGCTTTTTATATTGAATATTGAATTTGCTTGTTTTTTTAAATCGAAAATATGCAGAAACTTTGGGAAGAATTAACAAACTTATTTTGTTCAACTATAGTTGGACCCGCTTGATATAAACTCATTTTGTTACAGTGTTTAGTCTCTAAATCGGAATAGAAAAAAGTGTACGGTTTAGACACTTAACTGTAATACACATGTGTACGGTTTAGACACTTAACTGTAATACACATGTGTACGGTTTAGACTTTTAACTGTAATACACATGTGTACGGTTTAGACTCTTAAATGGTAATACACATGTGTACGGTTTAGACTTTTAACGGTAATACACATGTGTACGGTTTAGACACTTAACTGTAATACAAAAGTGTACGGTTTAGACACTTAACTGTAATACACATGTGTACGGTTTAGACTTTTAACGGTAATACACATGTGTACGGTTTAGACACTTAACTGTAATACACATGTGTACGGTTTAGACACTTAACTGTAATACACATGTGTACGGCTTAGACTCTTAAATGGTAATACACATGTGTACGGTTTAGACTTTTAACGGTAATACACATGTGTACGGTTTAGACACTTAACTGTAATACAAATATGTACGGTTTAGACACTTAACTGTATTTGTTAATAGCCATATCTAACGCTAGATGACAGAGGGTAGTGCTATTCCACGTGGATTTTCAAGTCGCCAGACACATGAATTGATCCGGAAATAGCATGTACATATCACCAACAACAAAAAAAAAATCCATTAGTCGACGGTAGCTCAACGAAATACCGGTACGGGAATAAAATATGCACCGATGTGTGCATACAGGAGTAGCATTAGATTTTACAGGTTTTAATAAATGGACAACATCAACCCATAAACCGCCAGTCAGTATTATTATAAGTGTGGGGCTGGTTTATCGGCTTATTAAATGAGATGCGCAGAAAGTTAATACCCTCTTTAATTTATTTTAATTACGTGTTTTCGTGCGGGAATCGTTGTCTTTGTCTCAGAATGGTACAGGGTACATTTCCTACCGATCTCAAGCTCGATTTCGCAATAAATATCACTTCACATAGTCGATCAACTATTTTATGAAAGAAGTTTGGACAAATTTGGATACTGAAAATTATTTGAAATCCTAATCGTTATGAAAGAATACTGAAAATTATTTGAAATCCTAATCGTTATGAAAGAATTTGAACATTATGGAGCGCATTTAACGTTAGCATATATGAGTCGTATGGTGTATACTTGAAGCACAAGATCTGCTGTTCCGAATAGAGCAGGGGCAAACATACATATTCTCATATTAGAAAACTTACTGCAGAACAGCCGTGAACGGAATACACTTATCTGGCTTGAAAAATAAATAATGGTTAAATCAATCTGGAACTGTGAAATTATTTTTTTTACACAGCACTTAAAAATTACATACTGAAAACAAAGAACGAAAGGCGATGTGCATACACCTAGTAGGCTAATCTAATCGATAAAGCGCATATGTACCAAAACAAATTAGCATATATAAACGTAATAAGCGATACTATGTACACAATACATTGCAGAGGTCTAAAGTTTAAACTTTAACACTTCTTCCACATGTCTATATATATTTACATATTTCTAGATTAAAACACTGAAAATGTTTTAGTTACAAATATATGTGGAACATTTTAAGACCATCTTAGCCAACAAACCATGTTTTTTAGTGCAAACAAATTGCACTCCGTTAAATATGGCGTTTGCATTGGATTCTGGCTGGCCAAATGGTATGTGAAATCTTTAGTGCAAAAGACAGTCCTTTTTTGTAATCAGTTACTGACATAACGAAGTTCACTTTAGTCAAATGTGAAACATTGAGAATTGTTAAAATCAACAAAATAAGAAACAGGCACAAATGCATAAGCAGCAGAACAGGTATTAGAGTATTTAACCTGTAAAATCTGAGATGTAGCTTTCACATGTTCAGTAAATAAGCAAGTGATACTGAAATAAACATAGGACATGCAACATTTATATTTATATCTACCTTAATAGCTTTTGACGGCATGAATTAGTTTCATATTCGTTTTAAAAGATTGAAGTATTAATATCAGTTATCACCATACAGGTTTTACTTTCAATTAATTTTTTTTTATTTCAACCTAGACTGCCATAAATTATATACCTGATTAAATGTAAATGTGCAAGTGCTACTAATTGTCACTTATGAACGGATGAAAGGAATGGAATAACTATCTTTACAATTTATTTTACACTAACGCTTGATGATTGGCCAATTATAAACCACAGTAGCTTTTTTTCAACAGCATGGCGTAGGCTACGACAAGAGCAGCGTTGCTGAATTAAAATTAATTGTCTTTATAAAGTTTCTATTATTCAGTCTATATTAGTCTTTTGGTTACTGTTATTGAATTTATTATAGGGGAAAAAAGAAAATCTATAAATGTATACAAATTCATCTGGTCTTTGTAAAGATAGTCTTAACAATTGTATCTAGTATTTGCTGTTAGAAAGTAGACGGTAGCATAACGTAATAATTAACAGTCTCTTTATATCCCTGTTTTAATATACACTTGTGTGTGAAATATACAAAATTATTGGTGAAATGTTTTTCGTATTTAGTTATTTCCATATTTTCAAATGGGTTAAGCATTTCCTAATATTTGATTAGATTGTACTCCTGTCATGTGGTATTATATTGTTTGTGCCAAAATAAGTTATACCTACAGCAAGTAAACGAGTACTATATGAGTTAGAGTAAATCGTGCTCATTATTTCCGGACATATAAATTAAATTTTACTGAAGAAATCTGCTTCGACCCCTCTAAGCAGTGGTTTGACCTTTACTACAGTAACAAGAATGAGAAGTGAACTGAATTTAGGAAAGGGGTGGGTGGGAGATGAATCTTTGAAGCTTCGATCCAGATGTAAGATTGGTATATAATAGAAAGCAAATTTTATTTTTCGGAGAAACTAAATGATATAGTTCATCTGGTGGTACAAAAGCAAGGACATATGCTACCTCGTGATATATGACATATCCTCATGGTACAAAAGTAAGGATATATGGTACCTCATGGCTTTGTTACTGGTTCAAATGTCACGGTTTTTGTATCACACGATGAAATAGAGCCGTTATTTAGCCAGGAAAAGAAAATATCTTCTATTGATTATAGACAGATGAAACAGCTTCAACCTCTCTGGTAGCCAAGTGGTTAGAGCATCCGCCTCAAACGCGGGAGGTCGTGGGTTAGATCCGCAGCCAGGTCATACCAAGGACTTTAAAAAATGGTACTAATAGCTGCCTCGCTTTGCGCTCAGCATTAAGAGGTTAGTGTTAGGACTGGTCCGCCTGGTGTCAGGATAATGTGACTGGGTGGGACATCATGCTACATGTCTGCGGCATGTTGACCTAGTACTTGACATCACTATAAACTGCCACACTGCAGACATCGTAGCGATATGACTGAAAAATTGTTAAAGCTAAGTTGAAAATCGTAATCACACGCACGAAACAACTTCCTAAAGTACCTAATGTATGCAGTGTCCGAAACGGTTTAAATGGTGAGTATACAACAGCGTTAATAATGTTTTTGTTTCGATTATTGTTTCTATGTGGATAAAATCTACGATAGTTAATAAATAAAAACTGAAATCATTTCTAGTAATGGGTTATATGTTGACAAAGTCGTAGTTGTATGAGTCGTATTGATTTCCACTGTATCATTGTTTTTTATTGGGTTGTATTGATTTCCACTGTTTCATTGTTGTATTGGGTGGTATTGATTTCCACTGTATCATTGTTGTATTGGGTTGTATTTATTTCCACTGTATAATTGTTGTATTGGGTTGTATTGATTTCAACTATATCATTGTTGTATTGGGTTGTATTGATTTCCACTGTATCATTGTTGTATTGGGTTGTATTGATTTCAACTGTATCATTGTTGTATTGGGTTGTATTGATTTCAGCTGTATCATTGTTGTATTGGGTTGTATTGATTTCAACTGTATCATAGTTGTATTGGGTTGTATTGATTTCCACTGCATCATTGTTGTATTCGGTTGTATCGATTTCCAATGTATCGTTGTTGTATATGTTATATTGATTTCCACTGTGTCATTGTTGTATTGGGTTGTATTGATTTCCACTGTATCATTGTTGTATCGGGTTGTATTGATTTCAACTGTATCATTGTTGTATTGGGTTCTATTGATTTCCACTGTATCATTGTTGTATTGGGTTGTATTTATTTCCACTGTATCATTGTTGTGTTGGGTTGTATTGATTTCAACTGTATCATTGTTGTATTGGGTTGTATTGATTTCCACTTTCTCATTGTTGTATTGGGTTCTATTGATTTCCACTGTATCATTGTTGTATTAGGTTTAATTGATTTCAACTGTATCATTGTTGTATTGGGTTGTATTGATTTCCACTTTCTCATTGTTGTATTGGGTTCTATTGATTTCCACTGTATCATTGTTGTATTAGGTTTAATTGATTTCAACTGTATCATTGTTGTATTGGGTTGTATTGATTTCAGCTGTATCATTGTTGTATTGGGTTGTATTGATTTCAACTGTATCATAGTTGTATTGGGTTGTATTGATTTCCACTGTATCGTTGTTGTATTGGGTTATATTGATTTCCACTGTATCATTGTTGTATTGGGTTGTATTAATTTCCACTGTATCATTGTTGTATTGGGTTGTATTTATTTCCACTGTATCATTGTTGTATTGGGTTGTATTGATTTCCACTTTCTCATTGTTGTATTGGGTTGTATTGATTTCCACTGTATCATTGTTGTTTTGGGTTGTATTGATTTACACTGTATCATTATTGTATGAGTTGTATTGATTTCCACTGTATCATTGTTGTATTGGGTTGTATTTATTTCCACTGTATCATTGTTGTATTGGGTTGTATTGATTTCCACTGTATCATTGTTGTATTGGGTTTTATTGATTTCCACTGTATCGTTGTTGTATTGGGTTATATTGATTTCCACTGTGTCATTGTTGTATTGGGTTGTATTGATTTCCACTGTATCATTGTTGTATTGAAATGTCTTAATTTCCCTGGTCTCGAACAACTTGCTTTATTCAGGTTTTGTTATTCCATCAGCTTTGCAAAAAGGAACAAGCTTTACATTTGAACTAAATGAACCCAATCTCCAAACCTACTCTCAACTGTATAACTTTCGTTTTAGTTTCTTTCAATTATTTATCGTTTAGCGTCGTTCAAATTGCGATGTGTATGAGTCTTCTTTCTTTAAACATATAGCTTTGTCTTTATCAAAATTCCGACGAAGCTTTTCCAAATTGTATGCCAGGTTCAACTCTAAAACGATCTTCAAATGTTCGGTTCATTTTTGTTTTCTATCTTGTTAACATTTCGTTTGCTTTATAGTAATTTAAAATGATAATTTTGTGTCAGTCCTACTCGGACTAAAATATTAATTGTACAGCATGCTGCTAAAGCGATGTAACTTAAGATTTTATTTCATGAATGAAACAAATCAATGCAAAGTAGCAATAAAATATGAAATATAACAATTAAATTAACAAAATTTAGGTCACTACAAACCTTGCCAAAAGGATAAAACTAAAGAAGACATGAAGGAATACAACATGCATGGCAAAATAAAATCATATAGCTATAACGAGATCAGACCTAAATGTCTGTTGGTAGCTACTGCTGTAGCAAGACAACCAATACAGGTACGGTGGAAGGTGGAAACACAAACGATTGAGACGTTGGACAAACAGGTAAGAAACGTACCGAATGTAGATCATTAGCACGGAAAGAAAAGTGATTCCTTTCACGTGCAATTTAAAGCATATTCACTACATGAGACTATATATATATATATATATATATATATATATATATATATATATATATATATATATATATATATATATATATATATATATATGAATTGTAGAAGTTGCAAATGGCAAATTGACAGCTTTGAAAACGAATGTTTAAATGAATGAAAACAGACTAAATATATAAATAACACTCCATAAAAGAAATAAATTCCACCAAAATGTTTAATTGGAATAAAATGTGCAGGTACTGAAATGAGCAATCAGATTGGCATTTACCACATATGAATTTAAGATTTGGAAAAATATTGAAAACAAAAACAATTTCAAAGGTTAAAAAAGCTTATCACTTTGTGGTAGACTGAAGTATCAGCTGACATATAAGTATGGAACAATTGTAAATTGAGGTGTCTCTAGCGAATCTTGCTACAAGTTTAGGGGTGGCGATGGTGATAGTAAAAGGTGTAGGAACAAATGGGGATGTGCAGCAACTGGAGGCAGACAAACCAAACAAGGCTTAATAAATATACTCATAATATCAAGAACCTTGTTTGGTAAGCTGGTTGATTAAAAGTGCGCACCAAATTATTGTTCGAGGCTAAAATGCTATTTTACATAGTTCAGCATTAACTGGTTCGTTATTTGCAAAGGTCCAAGCTTAACATCAAAGAGTTTACACTTACGATATTGCATCACCGAAAGTTAGGTCTATGGAAGGAATGTCCTGAAAGTACTTGAGGTCTTCCTCATAGAACCCGAAGGTACAGTTTATATCCTATTTCTCAATGTAAACTATAGCATCCCCTGCAGTAATATTAATTAGTGTTAGCTTATTTCATGTTAAATTTTGTTTCTTGGCATTTCTAAATCACCATTTGTAATCATGAAAGAGACAACGTGTGCCGGAGAAACATCATCATCACAATCGTCGTCATCGTCATCGTCGTCATCATCATCGTCATCAGTCATTTTGAATTCTTTTTCTATCCTTTTATAATGTCCTTGTCGTACTCATACATTATTTCATCAGCTGAATGCCCTAGTACAGTCGGTACTATGGCATATTCTCATATTTAATGAGTCTCTAGATTTCCTTAATTTATTGTTGTATCCAGCGACCCTATCCATTTTCGTTACCATGTTACTCAGTACTAAAACGCACCCCAATATCACATTTTCTCAAGTCCTAAAATGTTTTAAAATTTTTCACCTGTGTCGTAACATTGCGCAATTAGTATTAATTCGCTAAATTAACTTAAGTCTTGAATAGTGGAAACTGTATGTTTTGGTTCGAACTTCTGCACTTAACATACACGTTTCATAAATCCTGATACAATCGTTTTCTTTGTCTCGGAATGTTTTGAAGCATTAATAAATTGCTGTCTTACAGAAAGAAGTTCCGTCAAGTAAGATTAACTTTGTAATGCAACTCATTTAATTCGGTAACATGGTTTATCAGTATTCATATTTACCTTTGTTAGAGTAATAATTATGTTTGTCGAATATGTTTTATTGCAACAAGATATGCAGTGAAATTTGGAGATGAAATGAATTGTTTCTTCAATATTTGTGAATCTCCACACTGTTATAAAAACTAACTAAATATTGATGTTTTTTCATTATGTTCAAATTTCTTAAGCGAGTGTTTAGTCTTTATGTCACCCATGATAGATCGATACAATATGATCAGCTTCTTTTAACTGTTAAAAGATTCACCATGCGCTCTCCATTTCAAATCGCCCCCCCCCATTTATACTGTTCAGTCTTATAATCTTCACAATTTTCCAGCTTTTTATGTTACCTCCTTTATCATACTGATATCATTATTGCTGTAAATATGTATTCCTTGTCCTTTCCAAAATGGTGTTCCAGTTTATAATCGACCAGACCGTCTAAAATAACTTGAGGGATTATACATATTTCCTCAGTCAAGTTATTAGGGAATTTCTTCCTCTAAATATTTCTTTTCAAAATCTGAATGTCTTACCGATTGTAAATTTAGGCGTTTCCAAATATATCTGTTGTTAGGTAACTGGATATGCTTCAACGAAAGTCATGTCTATTTATCTGTGGTTCGTTTCATTATATCCTTCAGGTCAATTCTATAAAACATCAATACAATTTCTGGTTTTATATTGAAGCAAATATTGCAACCCTTTAGTCTTCGTAATACTCTTAAATCATTTCACTACTGATGCCTTTTTCTAAAGTTATTTCAAAAGCAACAGCGTTTTTCTTTTCCAGCGAAACATTCACTTTCTTCACATAATTGAAAATTTTATGCTTTCGGTTCTTGAATATATTTGTGTAAATGAATTGAGTATGATTTCTTCCATATATTTTGAAAGATGTCTATCACTGACAATGTGCATTTATTAACATTGTCATACTTTTCTATGCTGGCATGTCAACCATGTCTACTTGTCACTGAT